TACAAGATAAGCCAGTAACCCCTTACAGTACCAGAAAGCAAGGAAGGCTCCAAAAAAGGATGGGGGCATGTTGAGAGGACACAGGTACTAACCTGAAGGAGTTCCCAGAGTTAAATATGGGACATTTGAACAGCAAAGTAAATAATGATAGTAATGGATTACAATCCATAGAACAAAATAAACTGTGAATCATGCTTAATTTAAATAATTGAAAAAATAACTGAAGGAGAAGGAACAATTCTTGCTTACATAGAATTCTAATTAATAGATATAGAAATAATGATAGAAATAGGAAATAACTGTTGGGCAAACACCACAGTAGTGATTATTGCAGACCAGACCCACCTGTGCATGCTAAAGTTAGTAGGTCAAAGTATGGTGACAAATGGGATATTTGCATAGTCTCAAAGTTATCTCTTCACAAGGTACTTAAGATATAAAGGAAAAACACTAACTTTATTGAGAAACCTAGACATCACATTAAACAAATGTGCAAAGTTACCATCATCTGTAACAGCAGCGTGTTACCTCCTGATAAAATGCATTGAAAAGTGCAGCATCACTTCTATGGGGATTTTTTCCCCATTGTTTTAAATTATATTTTTTATTTTGAAAAAAATGATAGATTCACATGTAGTTTTATGAATAATACAGAGATTCCACGTATCTTTACCTTCTTTCTCCTAGTAACAAGTACAGTTGCAAAATTGTAGTTCATTATCATAACCAAGATAATGATAGTGATGTAGTCATATTACAGACATTTCCATCGCTACAAGGATTCCGGGCATTGCCCTTGTATAGCCTCACTCCTTTTTTTTAAAAAAAGATTTATTTACCCGAGAGAGAGAGAGAGCGTGCAAGAGCATATGAGCAGGGGGAGGGGAAAGGGAGAGAGAGAATCCCAAGCAGACTCCCTGCTGATTGGGGAGCCCAATGTGGGGCTTGATCTCACCACCCCAAGATCATGACCTGAGCGGAAATCAAGAGTTGGAAGCCGAACTGACTGAGCCACCCAGGCACCCCGGCCTTGCTCCTTTTAAAAATTGGGCTGCTTATTTTCTGTTATTGAGTTGTAAGAATTCTTTATATATTCTGAATCATATGGAGTTTCCCTTCCAGTTTGTTAATATAGTGAATTACACAGATTTTTTTAGTATTAAAAATTGTAGTAAAATACACATAAAATTTACCATCATAATGATTTTAAAGTGTATAGTTCAGTGGTATCAATTACATTCATATTGTTGTACAACCATCACCACTATCCATCTCCAGAACTCTCTTTATCCTACAAAACTGAAACTTATACCCATTAAATAGCTCCCTGTTCTCTCTTATCTACTGGCCCCAGGCAATCACTATTCTGTTTTCTTCCTATATGAATTTGATTAATCTAAGTGGTTCATATAAGTGATATCATACAGTATTTGTCTTTTTGTGACTGGCTTACTTCATTTAGCATAATGTCTTCAAGGTTCATCCATGTTGTAGCATGGATTTCCTTACTCTTTAAGGCTGGATAATATTCATTGTATATTCCATATCTTGTTTTTCCATTGATCTGTCGACAGATGGTTGGGTTGCTTTCACCTTTTGGCTAATGGGAATAATGCTGCTATGAACATGGTTTTGCAACGACTCTCTTTAAGACCTTGCTTTCATTTCTTTTGGGTATATACCCAGAAGTGGAATTGCTGGATTATATCTAGATTTTTCTTTTACTCTCTCTACTTTCTATTCTGCAAGCCCTGTCTCTCTCTGAATATCTTTTCCTTTTAGAGATTTAAGTTTTAAAAGTTCTCATCTATTTATTTCTTTAAATAACATAGTAAATGCTTAATAAAAAGACTGTTCAGAGAACAGAGTATAGTGGTTATTGAATTTCCGGACTGAGTGGCTAGGAACCCCCCTTTGTTTCAGTCCTTGCTATTGCAGTGTGTTAGTTTGTTTTATTCCCTTAGTAAGTACAGTATAGCAGACCTAATTGAATTTCTGGTAATTCAGGATCTTGTGGTGCTGCAGGGCTATCATTACAAATATACACTCACAGTACAATATACCAGAGGGCAGAAGTTATTGGGGAGTGGAACGAAGTACAAACCCTTCTGGACTCTACAAAACTAAATCCTTGATACAAGTTTGTTTTCTCCTGCTAAGTATGTGCTATAAGAAAATCAAACAATATAGTGTTAAAATTAATTGATGTTTGAGAGATGTTTACTAAACTTAGTTTCTCATCTGGCCGTCTTTACTATTTTTTTCTTCTGTGCCTTCCTCTTTGCATCTGTATGCCCGTATCACTAGATAATGGGCTGTCACCCTAGCTTGGAGGAAGCACACTTAATAGGTGTAACTTGTAGAAGCAGATGGAATCTGGAGCGCAGTATTCTGCACATCTTTGTCTCCAGCTACATTTCTCTTTCTTTTACTACACTTCAAGGAAGAAAAACAGAGCTTTGGAGACAGGACTAGAGAAAGAAAGAGGTAGAAGAGCTGAGATGAAGAGAAAGAGCAGCAAATTTTTGAAGAAGCACAAAGGAGGAAAAGAAAGAGGAGGGTAGGGCTGGGGGGGGTCAGTGGTGGGGAGCAGGGGCAAGGACGGGGTGGTTACAGAAGTCCCAAAGTCAGGCTTCATGGAGTCCCTCCTTTGGACTAAATAAAGTCCTGAACCCTGTGAGCCTGAGGAAGGATTTCTAGGAACTTCTACAGTGTGACAAGTGGATAACTAAACCAGAGGTCACTTGGGCCGGAATGAACTTAATCAGCATCCTACAACAGGCATTTCTTGAGTGCCTGTCATCCACAGCCTCCTGAACTCAGTAACCACCAGTCCGCCAGCCAAGAACAGAAAAGACCAACCTCCATTCCAGATGTTTTATTCACTCTGTGAACATAAGGGGAGCAGTCCCCCAAGTTCTGCGAGTAGTCCCTTCTCTGTCCTTGCTGGACACATCTTTCTCTGGTCTTGGGGCTGGAAGATTGGAGGGGAGGCTTGAAGTTCTGCCTTCTTTGCCCCTTCAGCTGATAATGCCCGTGATGCTTGGATGTGGAGGTCCTACTGTACCAAACTATCAATTAGTCTTATTGATTTGAACTTTTCTTGACAAGTAGTAATACTGTACTGGCTTTATAGATAACAAAGAAATAAAGATAACTGGCATATTTGAAACATAGTTCCCCAGGCAGGTGTGATGGGTTCTTCTCACTTGTATTTTTATCAGACTATATAGGGTTTGCATGATATGTGTGTGTGTGTGTGTGTGTGTGTGTGTGTGTGTCCAGGCTTCAAAGCAGACCTAAGAACCCAAAGGCTTAACAGTTTTAAATGTACCTTTCTCATGTGTTACTCCAGAATGAAGACGAATATATTTTTCACATAATTTAGTTACAATGAAATGATAACAACTAAGCATACATTTTTGTACAGTCGTCAGGAAAGAGAAATAAAAAATATAGGCAGGCTAATTGAGCCTAATAGATTACTGATGTTGCACTATATGTGGCCTAGTTTGCTACTCACATTTCTGATCTGAAATTGCTGTTCTCCCGTGGCCTAAATAAGTTGTTAAAAAGTCTAAGGTAGTTTTCCTTACAAATATGATTTCTGTCCTAGAATTGCCAGTCTGACCAAGAAATAAACAGGAGCAGGTGCTATGCCCGGTGAGCGAATTGCTTGCAAAGAGATGCTCATGAGGATATCAGGAATCGGTAGTTCTGAGCCGGGGCGGTTCTGACCCCTAGGACTCTATGATAATGTCTGGTGACAGCGTTGAGTGTCATGCCTGAGGTGGAGGTGCTCCTGGCTTCTAATGGGTAGAGGTCAGGGGCCGCTGCTAAACATCCTACGGTGCACAAGACACCCCTGAACAACAAAGAATTATCTGATCTAAAATGGCAATAGTGCTAAGGTTAAAACGTGCTGTCATAAATATGCAGAAGATACAGTATGGACTGATAATCAACTATATTAGGAAAAACCCAAGATGGTGTCTACAATTGTGACTGTCTCAGTTTTTCAGGGTTTTTTTTTAACTTTCAGATTTCTATTTTGAAATCATTTTAGATGTGCAGACTCATCTCTATCTCTATTTCCTTAGCACTTTGCAAAATGTTGAGTGAAATGAAAGAGAACAAAGAAAGAGACACATTAGGGACAGATCTGTTTAGGTTTCACTTCCACGGTGAGCTATGTGAAACACTGCTCAGAGCAGAAAGTTTGTAGATAAGCTTGGTTTCCTGGAAACACCCAGTAGGTCACCCCCTACACCACCCGTATCCATGCTTCTGCTTAGCTTGGGTTGCTTAGTGCCAGTGGAATTGGTGGCAGGGAGAACTTCAACTAATTGGGCCATGAATGAGCTTGGGTCTTGAAAGAGATCATTTCACACCCTATTACCTTACCCCAGCCCTTGCTGGTGGCTAGGACAACCCTACAGGCCATTACCTATTAAATCTGTGTGTATGTATGTATTCTGATGAAAACGTGGAAACCTAAAATGTGGAAGTCTTCTGTAATCCTGATAATGAATTGGTATATAGTCCTCCAGTTTTTAAATGTATATATTAACACATATATTAATATATAATTCTTAAAGATAGAATGGAATTAGAATTTTATAGTCTACTATTTTAAGCGTGTTTTTACCGTACTATATCGTGGGCATTCAGTATTATAGTGTGAGGGGTAAAACATTTAAAATTGTCTGTAAAGTAAGGATTTTAGTATATACCCACTTCAGAAGTATTAGAAAAGACATAAATATAAATTAAAATTTGTTGAGTGTTGTTTCTTAGATGAAAATACCGTGATGTTATTATGTACCACGCTGTATTTTTCATTGATTATAACAATGTTGAGTGATTCTATTACTAGTTTCTTTTGACATTGAAATATTTTTAAAAACATATGAGTCCTCGGAAAGAAACCATTATGGCTACGTTAATGTAGTTTGTGTCATACTCTTAGATTTCAACCACCTTTTTGGTGTTCCCCACAGGCAAATACGTGTATCAGCCCATGACCCCCGTGGAGCAGCTTCCGAGCACTGAGATTCCTGCGAAGCCTCGGGAACCCACAAACACCATTCAGATCTCAGTGTCACTCACTGAACACTTTTTGAAATTTGCATCTGTCTTCCAGCCGCCCCTCCCCCCTGATTCACCAAGGTACTGTATGATCTCAGACCTCTTTATCGACAACTATCAGGTTAAATGCATTAATGGGAAGATGTGTTATGTGCAGAAGCAGCCAGCGCCGCATTCCCACAAAATGAGCCCCGAGGAGGTCTCTGCACATGATGCCTTAATTTCAAGAGAGAGCAATACACCAAAAATAGATCACTGCTCTTCTCCCTCAAGTTCTGAGGACTCCGGGATCAATGCAATTGGGGCTCACTATGTGGAATCGTGTGATGAGGACACGGAAGAAGGAGCAGAACTGAGTTCCGAGGAAGATTACAGTCCTGAGAGCAGCTGGGAGCCGGATGAGTGCACCCTTCTCTCCCCTTCACAGTCTGATCTGGAAGTGATTGAGACAATAGAAACCACCGTGTGAGAGTCCAGGCAGGAAGCCACGGCCTCTGATCCATGCTGAGCCTTTGTACTTTTGTCTGATGGATCCTTTTTCCAATGCAGTTGGTATTTTCTATCCCTCTCTAACAACCATAGCAGTTCAGTGGTCTGCTGATTAGCATCACTCTTAAATTAGTCTTATAACTAAGACATTCGTTTTCTTATAAATGGTTTTCTTTTGTATCTTGACTTATTTTCTATGTAGCATCTGGTGTCATGAATTGTGACCCAGCCTTAATTTCACTGGGAACTTTGAAAGCAATGAAGTGATGATCACAGAGTATCATGGATCAGGTTGAGGAGCTACCCAGAGTGAAGGAGGCAGTGAAGGAGCTGGTTCTTCACATACACACACACACGCACTCACACACGCACACACACACACACACACACACATCCCTCTTGGCATTCCTTCTGATGTGCCGACAGGCACCCCTACTCTGCTAGCTCAAATGGGAATCAGCTCATGAGAGGGGAACAGAGGGTGTACTGGTAGATGCCATTCTGTCCCTTTTCCCTTCTCCCCACCACCTGCTGGGCCTAGGCCAGTGTTGCCTTGGCTTACATCTGGAGGTACCTGGAGACCCTTGCTCAACCCCTAGTTATGGCCGGAGCTGATACCTTCAGTTTCATGTTCAATCGGGCTTTAGCTGAGTGCCTATGCTCTGCAGGGTGAAACGGGGGCATGCAGACTGAAGAAGACCTGACTCCTGACGGGAAGGGCCCCGCAGTCCGATAGAGGACTGTGCCAATGCATGCAGAATGTTCTGGGGACCCAGGGGAAGGAGAGAGCTTACAGCTGGGGAACATGTTGCAGCATTCGAGCTGGCCTCTTGGGTGGATTCCTCAGTGTTTCCCTGTTTTTCTTAATTGTTCTTCAGATCCGGGGAAAACTTTTAGGAAGTTATATAGGTATTATATTTAGGAGGCAGCCACATCTGACGTCTTAAGAAAAAAAAAAACAGTAATAGTTTTAGTTAGCATGGAAATGCTAAAGAGCAGTCCTTTAGGGATTAGGAATGAATCTAATAGGTTTGATTAATTCTGCTTCATTTGGTTGTATGAAGCATTAGAATGATTTAGGTGAGAAATGGATTAGAATTCAGTATGATGCATGGATTTTTTATGCAAATGCAAAAGCAGTTGAAATAGTTTGCTGCTAAGTCAGGAGAAAATATTTTGTGTGATATTCATTCACTTTACTACAGTAATAGTCATAGTCTGTTGTACATGTTCTCTTTTCTCACACACACAAAATAGTGAATAATTCTTATTTAGCTCTCTTCAGAATTCTAATTTCCATTTATACAAGGTGTTTTTGTGTGAGTTGTTTATCTGCCATTTCTCCAGATCTGCTTTCTGTAAGGCATAGTTAAGAATCCAGGAAGTTTAAAATATGGCCCTAATGAAACCAGAACTATCAGAGGTGGAGAGAGAGAAATATGTCTCGTATCCTAACCATGAGTGTACTCTTGTGGCATAATCTCGTGCTCCGTCCACATTTTGCCACGTCTCTTCTATGTCCCATGAGTTTGTATTTTAAGAAATAAGAAGAGGCCCGTTGTGTTCTTCCCTGAAGCATCCATTTGGCATCCTTCACAAATCCCTCGAGGCAGAGTCTGCTTTCTTAGTAGTATGTATAGTTCACGTGATTGGCTAGAACACTTCGTCAGGCTTAGGTGCCCAGAACATCCCTAGGGATTAGAAAGCTGAGTATGCATATTCCTTTGAAAACAGTGTTAGTTAAAACTTCCTATGCTGGGTGAGAATGCAGCATACAGTTCGCACTTGCTGAAATGTATAGACTCAACAAGTCACACCAGGCAGGGGGTGAGAGGAGCTGCAGGAACAGCAGGGTACAGGAGAGGGCAGGTGAAGGGGTGGGGGGTGCAGAGAGCGGCTTCCCGGCCCAGGTGGCTTAGAGACAGACCTCGGATGAGCCTGCCCATGGTTCTCAGTGCCTCCTGTGATGGGGTCACCAGCTGGAGGAGGGCATAAAGGCCCAGTCCTGGGAGCCAAGTGGTGCAGCCAGCCACTGTGTGCACCTGCCCTTGGGTGAGCTCACTGAAGCCCCCGGGTGGGCACATGGAGGGTCTTCTTTCTCTACACCCCTCCTATCAGTTCTCAACTCTGGGCCCACATTCCCCTTCATTAAACTGATTGGAGTCAACCACCAGGTCTCCAAAGCCATGGAAATATGTGGTCACAGGGCCACGTTTCTGAAGCTGGTTGTGTCAGGGTTGGGGCCTTTATTGGTAATATCTACGACCTTTGCCTAGGTTCCTGTTTTTTAAACTCCTGAACTGCCATTCAGATTACCCATGATTTTAACGCAATTTTTGGATTTAATAATGGTTGATAATCACTTTAAATATTTGCACAATCTCTTTATAATTAAAAACTCACTAAGCTTCACTTGCTACTGTTTTATAGAATTGGAGATATTCCATTGGATTCTAAATATCAGATGCTCCTGGATCTCAAAATAGCCTTTTCTACACAAGCACAAGCAAGAATTTCTTTGTCCTAGCACTGTTAATAATTCTCTGAAATCATATATAATTGAACCAGAATTGTTTCTTTATGCTTGCATTCCAAAAACAACTAATAAGGATATAAAAATGTATATTTACAACTTAAATTCTAGGCCTACCTGTTATATATTATATAAAAGAATTTCTCTGTAAACCTGATATTATATTGCTCATTTGTATAAGTATATTCATAGGCACTTTAGAAAATGTTTAGACTGTAATGTGTATTATAGACCTCAAACACAGTCATGTTAAGTAGTCTTTTGGTTAATACTTATCCATTGACAGGTATGAAAACTTTATATAGCGTGAACCTGGTAGTTTGCTCACTTGGAGCAAAGGGTTGGGCTGTGTGGATGGAGAAACTGCTTTTGGGGTCCTTGATGGAAACCTGGCTCCATTCCCACTTCTGGCAAGTTGGTGTAAAAGCTAGTAGGCGGATGATGCCAACTCAGTGCTGTATGGAATGTAGCTTTCTTAGCAAACCGGCATTGATTTTAGGATTTTCATGGTTTGAATATGTTCATAACTTTTCTGAGAAATGACAAGCCAATTAAAATGCTTTTGTGGTCATAATTCTTTGGCACATTAACAAATAAGGCTTTACTGTCAAATCTAGGTATTTTTTTTTTACCTTGTAATTTTTAAGATTTGAAGTAAGAATTTGAGAAAACCCTGGAGAAAAACCAGTTGCATTCCTGGAAAAGGAAAATGTGTACTTCAAGGTAATACAATATAAAACCAAACCAAATGAAAGCACCCAAACCAAAACAAAGCTGCGAAGTGGTTGTCCTGAGGTACCATTCGGATTTGGTCTAGGATTGGATCCTGTTTTAGGGCTGGTGGTTTTATTTTTCAACCTTAACCTCCACTTCCTGGCCTCTTTGAAACTGTTCTTTTGGGACTAATCATAACAAACTCCTTTTATACAAATTTGTCTATCTGGGCAACAGGACACCACCTATTTTAGAAAGCTGTCAAAATACCCAGATATGTTCGGTGGTTTAAATACTGGGCAAGGGGAAACAAGCACAAGTTAAACTAATATTTATACGTCAGCTCTTGATTTTTCCATCTTGTTTGCCAAGTTGTATTGACATGTTTTGGCTTTTCACGTGAGGGAAACATTTTCACAGTTTTCTCTCCTACTCCCCTCCCCACGGGAGGTGGGAGCCAGAATTGAGGAGGCCAGTTGCATTCTAGGCTTTTCAGTGAACAGTGTGGGATTGTGTCTCTTCCTGTTGAGGAGGAGAGGGGAAGGAAATGGGAGTTGGACTCACCGTCTCAGTGCTGTGAATTCCAGGGTTGTATGTATTTCTCACCTCCAAACATAAGTATAAGGGCACTTCTCAAAATTAATTTTGAAAATCTTTACCTTTTAAAAATGTTATGTCTCTGCTCCCTTTCATTATTCTGGGGAATGGAGAGTTGACTGTACTGCGTGCGGAAGGGCTGCGTTTCTCTGAGTGCTTAGAGTTCTGTTGGGACTGAAGTGGTGCTCTTTTACTAGTGTGAACAAGTCTGAAAGCACATGGTCACCAGGGGCTTGAATATTGAGCTTCTGCATCATTGTGTCCATATACACTTTCTAAGGCTGTTCATACCTTGCAGTAGTCACTGTGCTACTTTTTGCACCCGTCTATGTTAAAGTTTTAAGCACAATGTTGACCCCTCTGTAATTTCCTAAAATTATAGTTTTCCTACAGACAGCTCAACTTTCCTTTATGTATAATACTTTAGGAAAATACTTACTTGTAAAATAAATGTAATTTTTTTCTTTTGTAACAGCTCAAATCTGATATTTTGGAGTTTGGAATATTCTCTCCCCTCCCTTTCTTCTTTGGAGAGGTTCTGTCTGGTTTAAATAACGCATCGTGAACAAAACAAAAACAGAAACCCGCATTTGTGAAATGTGTAACATGTATATTGAGTGCTTACTTTGTGCCAGGAAATAACGCAGTTTACATCATCATCACACTTGACTGTACAAAAACTACGAAGCGCAGCTGAGCATTACTACTCAAAATGGTAATATACTCACAGTCAACTACTCACAACTCCCAGAACACTTTGCAACAAGGACTTTTTCGTTGGCTACATCAGGTTTATACTAATAAACTTACCCCGCCCCCCAGTCTTTATTTCACACCAAGCCACAGTTTTGTATTTGGTTTACACCTGCCCTGTGAGACACTTCTAACCATAGGTCCCGGGGGTGCAGTCACTTGTCACCAAGGCCCAGGGTCCAGACCTCAGTGTGGCAAACCCAGAGGCTCAATTCGCTAATTCACACCTAGAAAAGAGCAGCTTCTGGGGTTGGGTTTCATCGAATAACCTCACTAGGGACTGCTAAATAAATTTGCTGATGAGTAACAATGATAATGCCATTGTTACGGTTATTAGGAATTGCAGCCCAGCCTTGCTGTTCACGGCAGCCCTCTAAGGGAGATTTCAGCGCTGCATTTCACGGATCCGGAAAAGTGCTCGAGGAGTAAATACTTTTGCCCCAAGTGACACAGCTTGTAGGTAGCCGGAGTCAGATGGAACCCAGCTCCTTTGGCTCCCAAGCTCCCGTTCTCGGCCCTTTGCCTGAGTTGCTCCCTCTGGTGGCTCCTCTTCCCAAGCTCAGGGTAGTTGGAGGCTGAGCCCCGACGCTGCTGGGGAGCCTGGGAGCAGGGCGGAGGGGGTGACGTTCCCATCTCTAACCCAGCGCACCCCTGCCCACAGGCTGGTGCACCCCGCCTCACCCAGTGGGGCTGCTCTGCAGGCGGTGTTCCAGCAACACCAACAGACTCCTTCCCCGCCTTCTGTGCTCCA